CTCCTTTTATGTCTGTTAATAATTGCTTTATATATTTAGGTGCTCCTATGTTGGGTGCATAGATATTTACAAGTGTTATGTTTTCATGTTGAATTTTTCCCTTTATCATTATGTAGTGCCCTTCTTTGTCTTTTGTTACAGTTTTTCTTTTAAAGTTATTTTGTCTGATATAAGTATTGCTACCCCTGAGTTCTTTTATTTGCCATTTGCATGGAATATCTTTTTCCATCCTTTCATTTTCAGTTTGCGAGTGTCTTTAGGTCTGAAGTGTGTCTCTTGCATGCAGCATATATATGGGTCTTGTTTTTTTTATCCAGTTGGCCACCCTATGCCTTTTCATTGGAGAATTTAGTCCATTGACATTTAAAGTAGCTATTGATAAATATGTATTTATTGCCATTTTGTTACTTTTTTTTCTGGGTGTTTTAGTAGTTCCTCTCTGTTCCTTTCTTTTCCTCTTGCTCTCTTCCCTTGTGGTTTGATGGCTTTCTTTAGTAATATGTTTGATTTCTTTTGTCTTACTTGTTTGCTTACTTATTATAGGTTTCTGATTTATGATTACCATGTAGGAACCTATATAATATTCTATGTATATAACAGTCTATATCGAGTTGATAGACTCTTTAGCTTAACCTCTTTCTAAAAGCTCTACTTTTTCACTCCCCTCATCCCACATTTTATGTTTTTGAAATCATATAATCTCTTGTTTTGTGTGTGTCTATCCATTACACCCTTATCATTGAAATAGGTAATTTTAGTACTTTTTTCTTTTAACCTTCATCTTATCCTCACAGATGTTTGATGTGGTACCTTTACTATATTTTTACCTTTACCAGTGATTTTATTGCCTGGTTTTTTTTGGGGGGGGGGCGGGCGGGTATTTTTTTTTTCATACTTTTTAAATCTCTATTTGTGGTCATCACTTTCCCACTTAAATAAGTCCCTTCAGCATTTCCTGTAGAACTGGTTTCTTGGTGATAAACTCCTTTAATTTTTGCTTGACAGGGAAGCTCTTTATCTCTTCTTCCATTCTGAATGACAACCTTGATGGATAGAGTATTCTTGGCCATAGGTTTTTTCCTTTTAGCACTTTAAATATGTCATGCCATTCTCTTCTCGCTTGTAGGGTTTTGGCTGAGAAGTCTGCTGATAGTCTTATGGGCTTTCTTTTCTATGTCACTTGTTGCCTTTCTCTTGCCAATTTTAGGATTCCCTCTTTATCTTTAATTTTGGACATTTTAACTATAATGTGTTTTGGTGTGAGCCTCTTTGGGCTTATCTTTTTTGGAGCTCTCTGTGCTTCCTGAACTTGAATGTCTGTTTCCTTCCTTAGATTAGGAAAATCTTCATCTATTATTTCTTCAAATAAATTTTCTGCCCCTTTGTCTCTCTCTTCTTCTGGGACACCTATAATATGAATGTTAGTGTACTTGATGTTGTCCCAGAGTTCCCTTAGACTGTCCTCATTCTATCTAATTCTTTTTTCTTTTTCTGTTCAGCTTGGGTGATTTCCTCTGGTCTTTCATCTAACTCGCTGATCCATTCTTCGGTATCCTCTACTCTGCTATTGAGTCCCTCTAGTGAATTTTTCATTTCTATTATTGTATTCTTCATTTCTGATTGGTTCTTTTTTATATTTTCCAATTCTTTGTTGATGAGCTCACTGCATTCATCTAGTCTTCTCCTAATGTCTGTGAGCATCCTTATGAGATTTTGTTTGAACTCTTTTCAGGTAGGTGGCTTATTTCTGTTTCATTTAGTCCTTTTTCTGGAGTTTTGTCCTGTTCCCTTGCTTGGAAAGTATTCCTTTGTCTCCTCATTATGCCTCTTTCTCTGTGCTTATTTCTATGTATTAGATGAGTCGGCTATGTCTCCTGATCTTGGAGAAGTGGCCTTATGTAAGAGATGCCTTTTGAGGCCCAGCAGTGTGCTTCCCTCTCATCACCAGTCTAAAAGATTCAGGAGTGACCCCTTTGTGGGCTACTTGTGTCCTTCTGCTGTGGCAGGGTTGCTCTTAAAGCAGGTACTCAGGGAGTCTAGTCTTTCCTTCCCTGGCCAGCTGTTTGTAAATCCAGTTTGGGGAGCCTCAGCGCCATTGGCTGCAAGGTCTAACAGCACACTCATGTTGCAGTTTCCCTGTTAATTGGGTAGGTACCCTGTGTAGCTGGTTGCTAGGCTCAGGGGCTTACAGTTGCTATAGGTCTCAGGACTACAGTGCTGTTGTCAGTTCTCTTAGGAGTGCAGCTGAGTGGGGCTGGCCCTAGGCAGGGAGTATTCAGTTGTTTCAGGCTTTGTAAGGTGGGGCTGATCCTTTTTATGGCTATTTGTGAAGCACAGGTCTTCTGCTCTGATAAGCCTCACCCTCCACAGGACCACACACACCATCAACACAGTCCTGGTCCATGCACGCTTCCCAACCCCCTGGTGCGTACCCCTTTGCCCCACTACAGAGGCCCCCACCTCTCCACCAATGCCTCCCACAGTTCACCTGGTCCTCACACAGGCCCTGCCCTACAGAAGCAGACACACTCACCTGCCTGTAGAGGCTAACGGCACCCAATCAATGCAGGCTGACAAGTAGCCTGAGGGCTTGCTGTTGGGTGGGGCTTGTCCCTAGGGCAGGCTGCCTGCCCTGGCTGAACTGGATTGAATCTGTGTTCTAGTGGATGTGGCAGACTCCTGGTCTAACAGGCCAGGGGAAAAACCTCAATGGCATCTGCCAGGGTCTGTGTCAGCATGCCTGGACCAGGTCAGAACAATGGCCTCCACCAATGTCTCAGTCCCCGGAGAGGTCCCTCCTCTCACCGAGATGCCCCCAGAGCCCACCTGGTGAATCTCTTTTCACCAAAGCACTGTCAGCCTTCTCTCTGGTGATTTTAGGTTGCTGAGATGAGTGAGTTTGTGAGTGGGCCCTTTAAGACCTGGGTCTTTTCGGTTTTCGTCCGATAACTTTTCTGGGGATATTCCCCGCTGCAGTTAATAGCCAGCGAAGCCAGACAGTAAGACCCTCATCTCCATTGTGCTGAGTCTGAAGGATGCTTATAGCAGTATCAGCTCTCACTCCAGACCTCACTCCTCCAGGGAGGACTGCGTACCTTAGGGTGTCTCTTGCCTGGCTGGCTGAGAAACTCCACTGCTCCTGAAGGTGACTTTTTTCTCTCCAGCAGGAATTTCTGCCTCTTCCACCTCAGTCAGGACTGTCCTTTGTTGTGGGGGTTCTTTTTATCCAGTTTTCAGTTTTCTATACAGGGTAATTTTTCCAAAAATCGTTGTAACCTTGTTGTGTTTGTGGCAGGTGATGAGTTCCGAGTCTGCTTATGCCGCTATCTTGATGAGATCTCTCGAAATTTGGAATTTTGACACTTCCATTTAAATTACTAAACATTTAGATTAGCAATATAGGACTATTTGGATGACTAGATGTAATCAGAACACTTTTATTTTCTAGGAGTGTCCTGGTCTGATTTCTCTCCAAGAGATGTCTAGCCCCTCAGAATGGGCAGTGAGGAGGAAAGGAAAAGTTGTTTTTAATTGCGCTCTATGAGTTTGCTGACTCAGTCCCTGCCATAGTGTTTTGAGTTGTCTTTTCCTGTTTTGTTTTTTTTTTTTGCAACTGAAAGGGTTCTAATACCATACCAAATGCTCCATGCATAAACACCAAATATACATAAAAATGAATTCCTAAAGTAATGTGTTACTTTGAATTCTAACTCTCTGAGCTTGTTGGAAAGGACATTTAGTAATCAGAAGAAATGTATTTTAATGTTGGCAAGGGCTTGCTAATGGTGAATTTTCAGGGGATTTTATAGGGAATCAAACACGAGATTGTACACTGACTTTCTCAAGAGAAAGTTAAGCACCAGTCTTCTTTTTCTCCTCATAGACGAATCAAGCCACAAGCTGCATGTATCCTGTTAACAGAGCTAGGGAGCTAAAGTTTCTTTTTGCATTCGGATTTCTAGGATATCTCTTGATGCTGATTTCCAATTCGTAATTTTATGGATCTATTTTCTCTGCCACTACATCTCTGCATTTTGAACAAATACTTAAAATTTGCTTCTCGCATTTGTAATTAAACAGTCAAACAGCCTAAGTCCAATAAGGATTTAATTGAGGCCAAATATTTGCTGCTTTTTGCATGCCTAATAATTTCCATCTTTGCCTTATTTGAATCATCATAAGTATTAGCATTTTATTTTTCTGCTCTCCACTCATTTTTATAAAATAGGCTCAAAGAAAATATTCAAATCATTGCATAAACCGACAATGCTTTACAGATAATAAAACAACATGGACAAAATAGAACCGATGACTGACAATGACTTCCTGGAAAGTACGGGGTAGATTTATAAATTTGATAAATTTTACTTGATTTTTAAGATGAATACTTTATGATTTTAATAGTACTTCGTTGGCAATTATGTTCAGGCTATTTGAAATGTCTAGACTCAAGCCTTTCTAAGTTCCCAATGCAAAAATGTAAATATTTGGGGCAAACACAATTTTGGATGACTCCTTGTCATATGCTAAAAGTCAAATGAGAGAATAAGATAAATAGAAGTTATGTTTTCCTTCAAATAACCTCTTTTGAAGTATTTTGTCAAGATATTCAGTGAGAGATTTCCAATGTGCCAATTCAAAAGTTTAAAAACAATCCAAGATAAATAAATACAAGACTAAAAGACCAAATATTACCAACACTACTAATGTATTCACTAGTTGAATGTCTCTAATTTGTGTTTGTCAAAAGCTTTCATCATGGAAATAGAGCTATAATAAGAAATGACAAAATTAAAAAGCATAGAGGCTAAGAATTTAATTTCTGCTTGAATTCTAATTCTGCCACTTGTTAGCCCTATGATCTTGGGAAAGTTACTTGGCTCACTATAATTCACTTTCCTCTTAGGTAAAAAAGGGAATAACAGTACTTTCTCCCCACTGGAGTTCAGAAGCAATTATGAGACAGAAAAGTAGAACATAGATGGTGATCAAAATATTACCTGCTAAACTGTTGAAGGCTAGAATTGAAGACGTAGCTTAGATGTATGGCAACAATAAGCTTCCAATACAGAGCGCCAGTCATACATCAGGTACTGCTGAAGCTGCTGGTCCCCCCACGTAGGAGCCTCCCTCTGTAAAACATAGGGTGTGGAGGAGCAACATAGAATGCATGCTCTCTGTGGATCCCAGATTAAAACGAGGTAGGGAGGGGCTAAGATGAGCATTTTTAAATTCTTCTCCCTAACTCATCAAGAAGAGAATTCACTCCTTTTTTCCTGGAAAGGAGTGAGAGGGTTGGCACAGAGTCGACAGGAGTATTCCATTAGTGAAGCTCTTTCCACAAGGGAAAATATGGAGGTGGGGGAAAGTTTTACCCCTTAACATTTTCTAGACTTTTGTTCTCTTAATCCTTTGGGCTTGCCCATTTAGCCTATATTCAACCAGGCTGTGGCTATCCCCTTGTGGGGAAGAGATCGGCCGATGATAAGGATAGTCCTATTCTCACTTTTTTTTTTAGGAAGATTAGCCCTGAGCTAATATCTGTGCCCATCTTCCTCTACTTTATAAGTGGGACGCCTACCACAGCATGGCTTGCCGAGCTGTGCCATGTCTGTACTTGGGATCTGAACTGGTGAACCCTGGGCCCACGAAGCAGAACGTGCGCACTTAACCACTGCGCCACCGGGCTGGCCCCCTCTTCTCACTTTTATAAGGTTCTTCCTCTGACACTAATCATATTCCTTTATGGGTCCTCCTGGTATTCCCCATGTGAGTAGTGTTATTTCTGGCCCAAGAATGCTCTTAAATAGGCTAGATGTGTACGTTAAATAAGTTAACCTAGAGACAATATTGTGCCCAAAGCTGAAAATCAATTTTCTATTTTATTTATCTACCCAAATTTTGTCTAGCCAAGTTGTCCAATTACATATTGCGTTATTCAGGTCCACTGCCAAGAAAGGCTCAGACATGTAAGAGATGTATTGGAAAAGGGAACTGGAGAAGACAAGGAGAGCCTTCAAACCATGCTGCTGGTCTGACACCTGTGTAAGAAGAGAAGAAAAGGATTCTTAGAATCTTAGAATGCAGTGCAGCTCCGAGAAAGTTTAAACCTGGTTGATGGGAAATCCTTGAGCCAAAGTCACTTGTTGGAGAAGCTCTGTATCTCGCTGGAATGGGCCTGCTTTAGTACCTTACACATCCTCAGTCATTGGCTAGGAGCAGCTGGCAGGAAGGGTGGCCTCAGTGTGAACATGTAGTGGCATTTGTGACACTTCTGGCTTCTAAAAAAGTTGAAAATTCTTCACATGGTGGCGGCCCCAGTCAATAGACTTTATGTGAAGTACTGTTCTTTCCTGTCTAACATATTCAGAACCTCTTACTTTACCTTTTTCCATTGAGTCCCATGTTTAAGCATCCCAGGCTGTAAAGAGTGGGGCTGTCTAGTTCCATATCCTCCACGATGTCTTACAAACAGCGCTTCAATCCTGAGCTGCAGGGGTTGTTGGCTTTACCTCTTGCGTGGCTAAGACACCTGCTTCCTATGATGACTTCCTCCTGCTTTCTACAGTTGTTTCAGCGGGATGATCACCCTCAGTAGAGACCTGAATTAAAGCTGCTTTTGGAACCTGTGCTCCCAAGAGCCTAGTGAGTTTCTATTACCTATGCTGTGTACTACTCAAGACCTTGTCTTCTACTTTGAATATCACAAGCCTTGAGTAGCATTTCTTTTAGTAACATCTTTTTCTGCAGCAAGAGATTAGGACTCTAGTGGTATATTTCCTTCCTCTGTTCCACTGCTATTTTTCAGAAAGAGTCATCTGAGTTTATAAAAGTTCCACCTGCTTTTTAGGTTGCTCCCTTTTTCCCTCTACCTACGGTATGTCTAGTACTACTGCTGGACTTAAGCACCTTCTTTCTTTCGCTTTAGTATACACTTTTCCTTTTGTCTCTCCTTTTGTTTTCTGGCCCAGACTTGCATTTTTCTTACACACACCTCTAAGTTTTGCCTTGTGGAGTCTCCTATAGTGAGACATATGAAATCTCTGCATTCTGTATTAGCCAAAAGCAAAGAAATTCTCACCTTCACCTTTCTGAGCTGCATAATATTCCCGGGAAACAGTCTCCTAGTAGATCAATATCCAGCCCAGGCCTGGACTTGACTTGTCATTGTCTTTTTCCAGCCTTGCAGGAACAGGACCTTTATCACTCTGCTACTGCCCTCGCTGAGAGCAGACCAGAACACATGCTTTTTGCAGGCTGGAATATCTGAAAGAGAACGGAGAAGAGGAAGGGAACACCAGTTACATTTCATCTTTATCATGTGCCCTGATCCACACCCCAAATTCATCAAAGTTGCTTCTCTTCTCCTGGGAGGTATTAGGTGTATACAGCCCAGGAAGATTACTCTAATGGTTGCCCCCCCCCCCCCCCCCGTGTGGAAAGAGATATCAAGAGTGGGGAGTAACCATTTCCCCAGAGAAGTATGGAAAATACTTAGCACATGCCTGAAGAGAGGTTATTACTCAATAAATACTGACTATTATAAACAGAAAAGGAATTGAAAATTGAGATGAAAATTGGTTTCTAGTGTGTTATTTATAGGAATAGCTAAAGGGAATAAGTATAAACGACAGAAGTAGGGCAACTAAGCAAATTCTCCAATGTTAGATTTTTTTCCTCAGAGTTTTATTTCCTTAGAGTAAAACTCTATGCTTAAATTGTCTTTTTAATTATCGTTTATGAATGCAAGCTACTTCAGACATGGAACCAGAGTGCAGACAAATGAACACGATTAGGTTGGTGTGAATTTTTTTTTCTTGGCGCTCAGGACCGCAGAATTGGATGAATCCTAATCTTTGGTTACGACATACTCTCCTCCTTGGTTCCCCCCTTTCTGCCTCCCTGCCCTTCCTCCCTCCATGACCTACCTTCTTCCTATCTTGCTCCCTCTCCTAGGGAATCTCACAACATCAACACTTTGTTCTGAGTGGAATAGAACTTCAGGGTTCCTCTGCCCTTCTTTTCCTTCCCCTCCCGGGAGACTGTCTTTGTTTGTTGGGCTGAGTTTGAAATTTGAATAAACACTGAAAGTGACAGACTTGCCTCATCTGGAGGATGAAACTGCAGTTTCTTTTGGTTTCTCCCAGAATTCTAAGGGCATCCCTAAAACTCAAAGGAAGGGCGTGGTTTTGACTCAAACTTTGCCCTTTTTGCCAACCTTAGGGAGTCTGGGTTGAGTTAGGGGGAATGTAACAAAACCTGACAATAGACAAATCTAATGTGGTTTGGAGTTTTATTATGAAACTTCTGTGCAGTTCTGCTTTTCACCCAGTTGTGTCATAGGAAAACAACCAAAACATTCATTTCAGTTTTTGCTAGCCATCTTTTGGAATAACACAAATACATATTCAGTATTTAAATATTCTGTATTGTAACTAACAGATTATCATAAGATGTTGAAATTGTATTATGTACTGATTCACAAATCACGGTTTTAAACTATTTCCCTACTTTCCTTCAATTATAAGTATGATTTTATATATAGATATATATTACATACAATATCATAGATCTGCATAAAAATATACACATTAAAACACAAATAAAACATTGGACTTTTAATTACTTTTTTATTAATCAGTTTATATTCATTAAAGAAAAATTGGATAAAACAAAAAATTAGAGAGAAGGAAAAACTACATATGGGGCAATTTCTTAATTCATTCTACTGGCAACTGATATTGTGCTAGGTGCTGAGAAAAATACATAGATGACTGGGACATGGACCGTACCCTTTCGGAGAGAGACATAAATAAAATATATGTATTTTAAATATTTAATGAAAGGTTAAGTTTGTCAAGCATCGTCAGTATTCCTGTGTCTTCCTGTTACCTTTAACCCAGTCATTTAGACTTAGGCTCCGTTTACCCAGGGATCATATGATCTGTGGGTATTTGGGCTGTGCTATGACTTAACTTGACATCCAGTTCTCTTTAGACTGCATGTATCTGCACTTCAGTCTTTTGAGAGGCAGCAATTGGAAAGAAATTTTTCCATTTGTTACGTGGGCCAGCCAGATGAGTGATGAAAAATGTAGTGTTGATAGTGCCCACTGAAGACAAAGAGACTACATTAAGATTGAGATAGGGAAGGGACATGGTTATATAGTATATTGATAACTCATTCCAAATTTCACAAGAAGGACAACCACCAAAGCAGAACATTTTTCTCTTTTTTTTATTTTTTATTTTTTTTGAGGAAGATTAGCCCTGAGCTAACATCTGCTGCCAATCCTCCTCTTTTTGCTGTGGAAGACTGGCCCTGAGCTAACATCTGTGCCCATCTTCCTCTACCTTCTATGTGGGACACCTGCCACAGCACGGCTTGCCACACCGAACCGTGTCTGCACCTGGGATCCAAACCGGTAAATCTTAGGCTGCCAAAGTGGAACGTGCGAATTTAAGCTCTGCACCACTGGGCCAGCCCCAGCAGAACATTTTTTCTAAACTTATTTTGAATACTATTTTGAAAAGAGGATTTTAACAAAATAGTCTAGTCAATAATTTTACAACTTTTAATAGATATATTAAGTCCCATGTTGATCATTTATAAAGTTGAGTCAAAAATCAATTAGTTTTATGTGTCTCATTATATACTATAGTAGATTTCCATTGGTTTCAGATAATTAGAACTATGAGTCTAAGATTTCGAAATAATTATTCTGGGAACTATACAAAAGACGTAAAGTTGTGAGACCCTATACCCATGATCATGTAACAGAGCAAGGAACTAGAAGAAAATATTTCAGTTCTTAAGTAAGCTGGTTGTGGCAGCTGGACACAAAGGACAAACTGGTAGTTGTCTAATTCTGGCTTTCTTCCACTGATGAAGCAAAACCAGATAGCGTCTAATTCTCCCCTAATTATGTTTTTTACACACTTTTCTATGCATATCAAACTCCTAACAAAATCAACATTAATATAATCTATTGCTTTCATTTATCCATCTGTCTACCATCCATTCATCCAGTAAATATTTATTATCTACCTACTACGAGGGAAAGCACTTTTCTGGACACAGTATTACGAAATGCCTCAGCTGAAGAACAGTTGCATGTCACTGAGATACGAGTTTATATTATAAAATGAATCTGCTATGGAAGTTTATTGGAGTTTATTTACAAAATAAATGAGCTTAAATTTAAGGAGCAAATAGCACTCAGTTTTCAAAACTGAGGGTTGTTTGTTTGTTTGTTTTTTAGAGAACATTCCTAAACTACCATGAAGTTATGAGTTCTGAGTTTCTTTTACTAACAAGCAAATGAAAACCCTTCCCATGGCAAGGAGCACTGGCAGTGGATTATTTGACTCTCATTGTGGTTTATTTTGTTATATGATGAATCCCATTTTTTTCTTTGTTAGTTACAGAGGATGAGAAAAATCTGGTGGCTATATTTTACATAGGCACACACACATAAAAAATTGTTCCCCAAACTGTATATCGGGCTCTTCATTCTCTCTCCAGAGTCCTGGGCATCTATTAGCCCTTGCCAACTAGACATTTCCCCACTAGCACTCCACAGGCGCAACAAACTCAGTATGTGTAAAGCTGAACTTTATGTCATCTTCCACAAACCTAGTCTTCTTCAATCCTCTCCCATAATTAACAGTACCACCATCCACCTAGTCTCTCAAACTAGAAACTGGATGCTCGTCTAGAGCCTATCCTTGCTGGCATTCCTCATAGTTATTAGGTTGTCAAGTTCTGTTAATTTTATCTTCAGAATAGGTCTAGAATTTTTGCTTCATTATCACTCCCATTGCTTTAGTGCCACTCACCTTTATCTTGCCTGGACTATTGCAAAGACTTCCAAAATGATCTTCCTACTTCTGGTCTCTCATTATTCTAGTCCATCCTTTATACTGACAATAAAGTTATCTTTTTCTAACTTAAGTATGCTCATGTCACTCTCTCGCTGAAAGTCTTTAAATGGATCCTCATTAACTACAGGACTGAGTCTAATCGTCTTAGCATGGCATTTAAGAACATTTGTAAACTAGTCCTAAATTGTCTTTGTAGACCCATCTTTCCACAAGAATTATGTGCTTCTGACAAATGGGATTGCTTGCCTAAATATACCATGCACGCTCTTTTTATATCTATGAGCTATTGAATATGCTGTCTCTTTGCCTAGAATGTCATTACTCACTTTCCTACTTGGTAAACCTCTACTTATTGTTCAGGGCGTAGCTCAAATATTACCTGCTTTAAGAGGTCATTTTTGGGGGCCGGCCCCGTGGCAGAGTGTTTGGGTTCGCGTGCTCTGCTTCGGTAGCCCAGGGTTTTGCTGGTTCGAGTCCTGGGCGTGGACATGGCACTTCTCGTCAGGCCATGCTGGGGCAGCGTCCCACATGCCACAACTAGAAGGACCCACAACTAAAATATGCAGCTATGTACTGGGGGGATTTGGGGAGAAAAAGTAGGGAAAAAAAAGAGGTCATCTTGGAAGTCCTCTGGGAAAATTAGTACCTCTGTTCTTTGGGCTGGGCTATTCTTTCTTTGCCTTTCTAGACTCTCTCTCCAGCATTCTCTACCAACCCTGTGCCCTTGGAGGCTGACCTCTTTGGACAACATTAACCCGATTTTCTTACCCTTTGACTTTCCGGTGGATTTAAACAATGAAAGGCACTAGAAGAAGCTCAGAGGGCAGAAGAGAGCAAGATTGTAGTAATATTTCCCTAACTCTCTCCCTCTCAGGCCTTAGATTGTCAGGAGCTGCATTAATCTACTGAAAGAGTTGTGTTGGGTAGAACTCTCTTATAGCTAGAGCTTTCTTTCTGGATTTTGGTAGTAGCTCCTTTTCTTTGCCTCTTCACGCTTAGGGATGGGAGCAATTTCTCAAAGTTGTTGCTTAATTATTCCTAACTCTACCTATAACTTTGTAAATAAGTCCTTTATTAAACTCTCTTTAATCATTCCTTTTGAGTACGCCGTCTGTTTCCTGTCCTGACTGGTACGCTCCTGTGATACCACTTAGATATCTCTTTAACTGTACTTAACACATTGTGTTACAACTATTTTTGCCTATCTGTCGATTTCCCCCATTAAACTCCTTGGGACAAGTCTGAATCCAGGAAAAGAATCCTTGTGACTAGGTAGAGAAGAACCTTGCTTTCCTAGGAGAGCTTTACAAAGACCATGGTAGGACATACAGAGGCCAGACCAAGGAGGGATCTCTGGAATGTGCAGAAAACCTGAGGACATGGGAGTAATCTTTGAGAATCAGATGAGGAACTGCCTGCCTGCCTTGATCAGAGGAGTCAACCTGGTTGAAAAGAAAATCAGAAAGCTGGGACTAAAAGATCTGACCCAACTAATTAGTTCTGGCAACCTCAACCCAGTTTGGGCTAAAGTCTGAGATGCTTTGTCTGGCATTTGGAATCCACTGATAGCAGCTTCCGGATTTCATTCGGTAAGGGGACCAAAAACTGTTAGCAAGAGGGCAATGACTCTAAGAACTGTGTAAGACTTTTAAAACTTCCATAACTGTTGGAGGTGAGAGTTGGAGTATCTCAGTAAACAGCACTTCTCCTTCTGGCCCAAGTTTTCAATAAATTGAGAAATAAAAGATTAAGAAGGATGGAGTAAAAAATAACGATGATAATAGTAATGATAGCTCAAACTTATTTGAGCTTATAGAACACTTATTTTGTGACAGGCACTGTTCTAAGTGCTTTACATATGTTAGCTCAATCTTCACGACAACTCTATGAATAGACACTCTTAGTCCCATTTTGTAGGTGGAAAAATTGAAGCACAGGGAGGTTAAGTAACTTGCACAAAGTCACATGGCTATTATGAAGTGGCTAATCTAGGGTATTAACCAGTTTGGCTCCAGTGTCTATGCATCTGACTGTGACACTGTATTGCCTCTTGAGATATAATATATTTATTATAGATAAAACTGATGTTGGAAAACATGATTTGTATCTATGAACAAGAATTCCTAAGAGTGAAACCCTAGTCACAGACAGTGCCGGGCTTCTGCAGGTTTCCTTACACAGGGGCTGTCTCTGGAAAATTTAGGATATGGAACAGCAGAGAAGTGATCTTGTTTGCAGGGAGGCTGGCTATGAGGAGAGGGAGAGAGATGGAGAGAGAGACAAACAGACAGAAAGACAGAGGGGACAAACAGGGGGCTTGCCTACACATGCTCACTTTCTTTTCTCATATTCATCAGTCA